GTGACATCAGGTACACAGAGCAGAGTGCACCTCTCTGAGCCTGGGGCTTTTCGGGGACACGGGGCAAGGAGTCAGGTACCTTAAATCATTTGTAGGGACTGAACAGAGAGTAATCACCTTACACATAATGCAGTAAGTGGATGCCAGCGTCATTAAGATCCCAGGTCAGACCAGGCATTGGGAAGCATTTGGGAAGCAGAGGCAGATGGATGTCTGTGAGTTCGAGGCCAGTCTGGTCTATGGAGTGAGTTCCAGGACGGTCAAGACTACACAGAGAAACTCTGTCTTGGGGGGTGGGGGAGAGAAGGGGAGAAAGAAAGAAAGAAAGAAAGAAAGAAAGAAAGGAAGGAAGGAAGGAAGGAAGGAAGGAAGGAAGGAAGGAAGGAAGGAAGGAAGGAAGGAAGGAAGGAAGAGAAAGACAGGTAAAAAGGAAGAAAAGAACCCAGGTCACAGGCCTCTCCTGCTGCACTTTCCAAGCACATGCCACAAATCCCTAGAGATTCACACACTCTATTGGAGACTTTCCTGGAGATTCAAGGCAGATGAAGCAATTGGAGCACAGCATCTCACTGGAACCAAAGCATCCTTCATTTAGCTGGTTAGTTGTGTAGATAAGGCCTACATTTGTATCAGAGGGCTGGGGACTTTAAGAAAGCATGAACTTCAAATGGCCATCCTCCACTTCACTAAAGACTCAAGGAAGCTAGGATATCATCAACACTCACTCAACAGGGAAAAGAGGATGAAGCTGGAGCCACGGGTCAGCCTACATAGGCCAAGGCCTAAGCCCTAGAGAAAAGGATCACACACCAGGCAAACGGGATTTAACAACTCAAAGAAAGTCCTTTAACTCTTCATCCCTAAAGCCTGTTGAACAGAGCAAATAGGATATCAAGTGGAGGGTCTAATCCACAGCAGAGGGAGAGTGAACGCCCACATAATACTTCCCTAAGAACAGAATCTCCTAGACTCACATACCAGGACTGTGCCGTGCTGCCGGTGGAATCCAGCCCACGGTCGCTGCAGGGTTAATATGTCTAAGATGGAGAATGAGACACTAAGCAATATAGATAAGAACTTAATGGCGGGTTTTGTTTTATTTCCAAATCCATTTGTGTATTTTAAGCTCTGCCCCACAAATATCCTCCTCTAAGTAGTTTCATGACACCCCAATACACACAAACATACACAAGGGGCTGGGGAGGAGTGAGGAAGGAAAGAGAAAAAAAGAATGAAAATGAGTTCTAGAAAATGCAAATGCTCTCAAGTGACCCTGGGTCAACCATCAACTTATGAATTGGCCCAGGAAAGGAAGGAAGCCAGGCGTGCCTCTCACCAAAGAAGAGATCAGTCCTAGAGAAATCACTCATGGGAGCCACTCAGCCTCCAGTTTGGAGTTCACCATGTGATCACCGGTTTTAAAGAAGAAGCTGCTTCATCTCCAGTGGCAGAATAAAATAAGTCTGGAGGAGTCTGTGTAAGGCAGATTTGAGCGTGCACTACAGATGATGTCATGTGTTCACAGCAGGACCTATGCTATGCAGTGATTCCTAAGTCCCTCTTGATTTTAACATGTCTTTTCAATCCCAATCAGTCCAAAAAAAAAAAAAAAAATCAGCAATTTCACACAAAACTCGTCCACTCACTTGAAATCAAGGCCACACTGCCATTGGCTCATCTTGAAGAAGTAAATACATATGCAATATTAATATATACCTCACATGAAAAGCATACATAATGAGAGCGGGGTAGAGGCAGGAGGATCAGGAGCTCAAGAAAAGCCTTGGGTACAGTTCATACCGACCTGGACTACCTGAGACCCTCCCTCAAATCAAGAAAAGCAAAGGCATAAATGCTGAAGCCCAGGAGGGATCCAAGAAAGCGCACTCATGAGGAAGCAAGCCATAGAGAGGAATTGTGGTGCTCTGACGGGCTGGCAGAATCAGCACCAGAGGCAAACTCTGCAAATCTCAGCTGAAATTCCAGCTCCTCTCATGTCCAGTCAGGGGAATGTGGGCCTTGCTACCCACCCAGGCACGCTCCACCTTTCCCCTGGGGCAACCAAAGTCTAGAAATGCTACCCCCGGCTTCTTCCAACTAGTGTGGCCCTTCCCTCTGTGAAAGGGACTCCAGCTAGAGAGATGAGGGAGCTCCAGGTTGCCTCAGGGCAGAGCGCAGAGACAAGGCCCTGAAGAAGCCTGAGCCCACAGGATGTTGTGGGTGAGACAGTGAAAGAAAAAAAAAAATCAAAGAAAGCTGTCTAGAAAAGCAAACAACTGCTCAAATTAAAAAAAATTGTCTTAACAGGAAGACATGGGACACACACACACCCTCTCTCCCAAGGTAAGAAACCCCAAAATAGTTGAGGAGGTGTATCTCAAAGATTTTCTGCAGAAAAATCCTGTCTTGCTCATCAGATGAAGCTGGGGGTGGGAGAGAGGAAGAGAACCAAGCACTAAGGTGAAAGTCAGAGATGGAGGGCCAGTTCATGTGCAGCTTTCAACAGGTAAGGAGCAGGCCGTTTCGGTCCTAGCCTTCGAGCACTGAAGACAGTCAAAAAAAAAAGCAGGATGTTGCACGAAGGCTCAGTGTTTGAAGTTCACTCACTTGAAGTCAAGGCTGCATTGCCATTGGCTCATCTTGAAGGAATTCACATGGAAAATAATGAACTTGCTTCTGGAAGTAGCCAGTGTCAGCATTCCCAAAGAGAGTTGGTAAACAAGCAGATGGGGATGGGGAGGGTGGGGGAATAGCTCCTCTCTAGATAAAAATACGTATGAATTAAAAAGAGACCATTTTGCACCTATTAAACTACATTTTTAAAAAAGCTAATAAGAGTCAGTGTTGATGGGTGGAAAAACTCGCATGTCTGCCTATTAACAGAGGCCATGTAAACAGCCCTATTTGAAAGTAATTTGGCAATATGGGTCAAGAGTCATAAAACTGTGGCCTTTTGACTCAATAAGCCTTCTGCTGAGAATGTGTTCAAATGATTTCCAAGAAGAGAAAAGTTACATGCGAAGATATGCACAGTCCCCTGGGGCCTAAGAGCAAAGGGACGCCCCTTGATTGTCAACTGATTTTAAATGTATCTATCAGTGTAACCAACCACAACACACTGAGAGAAACGAGCATGCGTAATGTGCTTTAATAGGCATAAGGAACATTTAAGATTATAAACATTATCAGATGAAAAACACACTACAAACAATGCTCTACCTCCGTACCCATACACAATTATTAATTGTGGATGGACTATAGTGGATAGCTGAAATAATCCAATTAGCCCAGAGGGGTGGCTATTGATTTCCTTTTCTCATCATTTTCCTTTCTCTGGAGTGTGATGCCGTTTCAACACCATTGGCTCAATAAATAATAGCAAAGATAAATATGATGGCAGTGACAATACTTACTGCTAAAAGCACAATAACAATGAAAGAGATGAGCTAGGGAGCTGGCTTAGTGGTTACGACCATGTGTGTTGCTCTTGCAGGGGACCGGGTTTGATTTTCAGCGCTGACATTCACAACCACCTATAACTCCATTCCCGGGAGGATCTGATGGCCTCTTCTAACCTAAACAAGCACCAGGCACACATGTGGTACACAGACATATATGTACGCAAAACACTCATACACATAAAATAATGAAATAATTTTTAAAAACACATGAAGACGACGACAACGTGAGACTCAACCTCAGAGCCCTAGAAACAATTCAGTATATGTGAAATGGACCCATTCAGGAAGCATCAAAGGGCAAGTCAAAGAAAGTGATCTTGCTGGACATGGTGGTGCAAACACATAATCTCCACCCCAGGGAGGCAGAAACTGGGGTATCTTAGGGGTTCCCGAGCCAGCCAGTCTAACATAACTAGTGAGCTCCAGAGGGATGAGAGATCCTGTCTCAGAGGAAGTGATGGTGTTCCTGAAGATGGCACCCTAGGTTGTCCTCTAGCCTCCACACAGACACAGGAGAGAAAGCAGAATGTGGGTGAGAGTGGAGTCACGTATGGGCCATGGCTGCCTACAGAGTCTGGCAATGCTCAGTGGATCTAACCGTCTCTGATAGCCTCAGCATTGAGAGGTCCGGGCCTCTCCTTCCTTCCCACAGTATTCAGATAGGGGTAGGAAAAGCCAGGCCTGTATGTGATCGAATGTTAACCGATTCTCACAAATGTTCGCAGAGAGGTCTCGCCATGATTTCTAGACTGAGCTGCGCAAAGCTAAGCCTTTTTCAGAAAGGTAACTCAGACCAGCCTCTGCCGGGGTGCTTGAGGGCATAGAGAATTTTGGTTTCCTGTAAGTTAGGGCTCAGGTGGGATTTGAGCTCATACTAGAACCCCAGTGGACTGCTGTCTGCACAAAATACAGGCAGGGACAACCAAACCAGGGGTGAGCACTTTGCCACCTTAACCTAACTCCAGTCCTACTTCTAAGCTGACCAGTTCTGTGCCTTGGGGGCATATTCAGTTTATCTCATAAACCTCCACTGTTCTCCCGTCCATAAATGGGGACCGCCTGGAACCTTTTCTCTAGGAATGTGGAGGGGTAAACATATAGCCCAGCAATTCTGGAGCCTTCTTCCGCTTTGGTAGTTTTCCCCGCACGGCTCTAATGGCTTAGGTCTCCTGGAGGGGCTGATTTCTCTCTCAGATTTGTCCAGATCAAGTACATGTAACATATAACAAGGGTAGACACAAAGGCAAGTGTTTCAACCTTTCTGACATCAATGTCACCTTGGGGCCTCAAAGGCACCAACGTCTAGGCCTTCCCCATATAAAGGTATCTGATTCTCAGGCTGGGACCCTGATACAGTAACATTTTCAAGCCGATTAAACTGTGTGGAGCTGGCCTGGGCAGCTCCAACTGGTACAAAACAACAGTGCCTTCTCTCCAAACCTCCAAGGGCCAAGAGAGCAGGAGACAGGAGTCCTCCTTAATTTGTTTAGGCCACAGTTCAATAGCTGCTTTTGGAACCAGGCAGAGCTCTGTGCGTAATTGGCAAACGGCAAGGGGTTGCCTGACTACTGCTTGCCTGTTCAGTCCAGTGACTTCCTCCAAAGTGGCAAAGCCAGCCAGCGGAAGTAACTTACCAACAAGGGGCAAAGGAAGCACCTGACCAGTGCTGGGGGGTATCAACGGTGGAACTTGGCCCCATGTGCGGCTTCCAGGTCTGGCTGGAGCCACGGCGGTGTTGGGGGCGGCTGCTGTGGAATCCACAGCAGACAACCTGCCTCTCCCTGTTCCACGCAGGAGGACAACCGCTCTGAGTCAGGCTCTCTCTCAAGAGCCGAACAGGTGAGGAGAGGCTTGCTATCCCGTCTCTAACCCTCTCACCTGCTGGGAATTTCCTCTGTCAAGACTATCACAGAACTGTGCTGCTGCTGCTTCCCCTTTCCTTCTCTGTCTCGGGGGACTCCGTGGCAAATGCCCCTGAGCCTGTAAGAGCCTGTTTCTTGTCAATCTGGCAATATGTCAAGAATGTTTCCTGCACATGACCCACTTGCCATGCCCGTATCTCTCGTGGTGTTATCAGTGCTAGGCTTACCCCACTTTTCAGATGAAGGAACTGAAGAACAGAAAGTGGGGTTCCCTGTCCAAGGTCACATGGCACACTGGCATGGGTTCCAGAAGCTGGGCTCACGTATTCAACCCCGAAGGGCTCTGGCTATCTCCTTTGCTAGAGTCTTCCTTCCAGTCATATAGCGCTATTGGGATCCTGCTTGATGCCAGATGCAATGGTTCATATAAATTGCTGATATACCAGGATCTAGACTCTCCCAGGAGCCAAGCCTCCAGAATGTCTGTGAGAGAGTTTCTAGACTGGGTTAAGTGATGGGGGAAAACCCGCCCTAAACATGAGCAGAACCAGGCCACGGGTCAGGATTCTGGACTAAATGAAAAGGATAAAGCAAGCAGTGGACCCGTATTCGTCATTCTCTGGTTCCGAACTGCAAATACAAATGTAACCAGCTACCTCGTGGTCCTGCTATCATGCTTTCTTCACCATGGTGAGCCAGAATAAACCCTTCCTTTCTCACTTTGCTTTTGTTAGTTATACTGTCACAGTAATAAAAGACACACACACAAAAAAAATTTTTTTTGAAGTAACTCATATACCAGGCCAGGTAGAGGCTTTCAGATACTTAATGGAAAGAGACATGTTGCATGCTCTCAAAACCTTAGCTCTCATCCAGCAATCCCCGAACAATGATGTCCTCTGGAAAATCTACCCAAGCAGAGTGGGCCTGGACTGCTACCTGCTGAGGCTGGGTCTGGCTGGGGCAGTGGCGCAGAAATGCAGGGTTAAACTTAGCCTGTGGGATCCAGGGAGACCTCATGTGAGCGGCAGCTGCTCTCCCACCTGAATGGCCCTGGTCTCACTGGCCCAGTCTGAAAATCAAGGCAATAATAATAAACGAGAAATGGCCTGCAAAGTACTCGATGCTCTGCAAAGAAGAACTCAGCCTAGGTGTCAGAATTGCAGTTAAGAGCAGGGCTGGCCAGCTTTCCTTAAAGGGACAGAAAGGCTTCTGTCCCTATAGGTCACAAGCTCTCTACCATGACTGGCACCTGCCCTTGAAGCAACAAGTCAACATAGATAAAATACAGGAGAGTGGGCAGGGTTGTGTTTTAATAAAACTTTATTTTTAAAACAGGAGGCCTGCTAGTGTGCTGACTGCTATGCTTGGGTGGAAGTAACAAGATGGATCATATCAAATGGCAGCCAAGAAACTGCTCTTTGCTTTTTCTTTTGACCCCTTCTAGAATACTTGGACCTTAAGGTACAGATAACTTTCCCTTTTTTTTTTTTTGGGGGGGGGGTAGGGCTGGAGAAAGGCAGATTGTTTTTCCTGTCTACTTTTCAAAAAGGCAGCTTTGTGGCTTTGGGGCACCTGAGAACCACCATGAGCATATCTCCTATCTTCACAGAGGAAGCTGGTGTTGAAAAGAACTAGAGAACTTGAAATCCTCTACCTTTCCATCTTTAGAGCAGGAGAGGTACTGCCACTATGTTGCCCTTTACTTAGATGATACCTCCATCTAAGCTTGGAATTATGGGGTAAGCTCTTCCCAGAGTGCCCATGCAGGTGTCTGAGCTTCTTCTTCAATAGGAGCAGACTTTGTGGTTCTGTCTGGAGTGCACACAGTGAAATTCACACCCTCCTCCTCCTCGGGGCTGACCTCACACCTTTGTACCCAGTACCGGGACTGAGATCAGGATCTGGGGAACTCAGTGGTCCAGTGTCTAGTGTTTGTAAGCCTAATCCCAAGATTCAGTCCTCATCCACCCTTCTTTAAGGCCACAAGGTGCGAAACTTTGGTCTCTAGTCCACAGCCCGAATCATGGACGGGTTTCCTTCTATGAGAGGCCTCAGGTCTGGCTTTCTACTCCGGGGAGGACCCTTCCCTGATTCTGCCTGTGCATTTGCCATCAGCAGGAGAACAGTCCTTCCTATAAAAACATCCCTCCTGTAACCAACCCAACATGCACGCCCCACCCGTCTCCAGGAACAAGCACAGCTTACCCTAAAGGTTTTCCAGGCCTCTCACCCTCCCAGGAAGCTCTTCTAGAGCCTACTGGGGACTTCATTTCTGGGTCAGGGACAAAGGGGCATGCTTGAATTCTCAGAGGCCACCTAAGTCAGTGAGTAGCCCAGCCTCTGGGATGATGGTAATGATGTCTTTGTGGAAGGATTCTCTGTGTCAGGGCTTTCCAATTCGCCCATTTCTGTCCCAGGCTAAGTCCTCCCCATAGCTCCCCGACCCCTAACTCCTTGTATGTATGTCTGTGTTTCTTCAGGGCTGGGAATGAAACTTCAATATTGTCTCCATGATGCAGAGACTAGGGTTTGTAAAAGTCACTCTCGTCCTCCTCTGCCTTTATGTAAATTCCTTTTTACTCTCTACTCTCAGCCAAAATTTAAATGATCCCACGAGAGCCTGGTTTCGGCTCACTGTTTCCTGCCTTCCTTCTACCTCTCTCTCAGAATCTCAAGTCCAACTGTGGGCTCCTCTGTGAGCTTCCCTATCCCCAGAACCCCTTGGCCATGATGGCCTGATTGCCCATTTAAGCTCTCTGCAAGCAGGAGACTGAAAATTTTCTCTGGGAAAGAGTGTGGTATCTGTTTCTGTGCTCCCAGAATGCAGCACAGTGCTTGGCTTTAGTATGTGTTCCATGTCCTCAATGTGAAACGCCACATTCAGTAGTGCTCCAGTTACTGCAGATAGTTACGCTCTCAATGGAACTTTCTAGCGGTGACCCATGCCTCAGTTTCTGCATCTGCAAAGTGGAGAAGACTCCAGAAGTGGGCTGACAGGAAGGAAGTACCTAAGGCCAGTCCTGCAGAGGCCCTCTTAGATAAGTGTTCTTTCTCTCTATCTTTAGCCTGATGATCTGGCTATCTGGGGACATCCATCCAGAAGGCTCCCTGGTGACAGGCTCTGCCACAGAGATGCTATCTATCACCAACGGAACTTCAAAGGCATCTTTATCGGCAGGACCCACCTCAAGGAAGGTGGATTCCTAAGAAACTTCTCCTGGTAAGTCTTTTATTCTGGGCCGACCAGGCACACCCGCCTGGCCTTATCTGTTGTGTCCCTAAACTGTTGTCTTTCCAGGAAGGGTGTCTCCTATCTACAGCCCTCCAGGAGGCAGAAGACCAGAAGGGCCATAGAAGCCTGTCCTCCAAGGCTGGAGGAGCCTTGGCTACCACTCTTCAGCTGATGCCTTGGGACAAATAAGGCCACCTTTTATGGAATCAGGCTCCTCCAACTTGCAAATTGCAGTAATTAGGGTTGAGATGGACATGAGAGAAGACACCAGAATGTCTGCCTATAATGATTCCTTGTAGCGAACAGGGAGAGAGCTGTGAAGCAGGAAAGATGGAGAAGGTTTCCAGGAAGCACATTATTCTGCAAACGGCAAGCTGCAGCATACAAGGGTGCCTTCTGAGAACTACTCAGAAGCTTGTGGGGGAGGGTAGGAGCCAGCAGAAATGCACAAGAGGCAAGCATGAGGACAGTGTGGTGAAATCCATTTCTTGCCTGGAAATCAGCTCCATAGAGGTCTTCTCTGGGAGCTGAGCATTTGGGGCTGCCAGGGCTTGATACAGTAGCCCAAGTGCTGACAAAGGTCCTCACCTTCCTACCATTTCCCTACAAGTGGCAAGCAGCTTAACAGACATGTGTGGAAGAGTTTAAAGTGGCACTTCCTGACTCCTTCCCTGGGAGGGTCTGCAATGCCAAGGGCTTCTCCAAGAAAGAGCAAGTCCTGTGTCCCTTCACTGCCACAGGCCCAGTCTACAGCTGAAGTTCAGGAGTGTCTTCATAAACACCCACTTTGTGCATGAACAGGATGAAAATACCTGGAGGGAAGTATTCAGGGGATCATATACAGAATCACTGATTACCATGGATAGCTAGTTATGCTCTGGTTATATATATCTCCTCCATTTCCCTCCTCCTTCAGAGCCCAGAGAGACACCCAGACCTAGGCTCACTCACTTCACCTTGGGCCTCCCAATCTTCAGCCTTGAAAGCTTCTGTGACAAGGGCATACCATGAGAAGGCCGGCCACACGCTACATTCCGATCTCTGCAGCGTTACGCAAGTTAGGCAGCCTCAGATTATTCACTGATGCCCTCAAAGTGCCTGTTTCCATAGTACCCAACTCTGAGTGGGTTAGGAGGATGGCATAAGGTGTTTAAGTCTGAGCTTGGCTCCATGGTACCCATACCTGCTAAGCTGAGCAATGTTCCCACTAGGGAACTTCAGATACATGACTTCAGAGACACATGTCCCTTGTCCAAAAGTCCAAGTAGACTTTGCACTTTGCACCTGGGGTCCTAAGTCCTTTGGTCTTCTTGGGTCTGTATTTTACTTTCCTATGCCAAGCCTCAGGCTTGTCGATGTGTAAAATATGTCTTACAACAGCTGCTTTCCCCAAAAGCCTGGATCAAATAAAACAGAAAGCAGGAAGCTTTCTACGGTTGGTACAAAAGGTGCTACATGATTATATTTACATGAATTACAGCCTCCATGACCCTCAGGTCAGTCAGCCACCATACCACTCCTTGTTCTTGTTGGGTCCTTTACATGCATGTGCCCCCCATACACCCCCAGCCACTCTGGTTTACATGTGCCCTAATCCTGTTTGGAACACTGGGCTTTGACCAGTCAGCTGGAATTTTGGTGCCAGGAAATTAGACACCAGGGCCAAGGCCTAAGAATGCATCTGTCCTTAGGTTGCACAAGCTGTCCCCTGGCCTGAGGTTTCAGCTTGAGGAAACAAGGAACACAAGAGCACCTGGGGATTACTCCACATCCCCCTTTCCTGAAAGTCCCCGCGGAGCTGCCCGTGTGAGTGCACCTGGGTGTGCAAACTTCCAGTCACGGGAGCACCTCGGCCAAGGCACAGAAGTCAGGGCATACTCTCCCTCACCTGCAGGAGAGATTCAGAGGCTATGTGACCCGAGATCCATCACCGTCCCCAGAGTCACAATCTCTTTACCTATAGAATAGACGCATGGAAGCCCTGGTCTGTAGAAGATACATCTGAAACCTAAGAGTGAGAAGGGGTTCATATCACAAGTGGTATCTGCTTGTTGCTCCCTCCTCCCTACATTCCCTCCTCCCAGGGGGAGAATGTAGATTCTGCCAAGTTGTGCAAATAACAACTCATTTGACATCTCTGAACCTAAGAGACGGTCATAACGGCTAATGAAGAAAATAGACAGCGGTCTAAATTTCTCTGGAAAGTATTAAAACACCATGAAACTTGGCCAGCAATCCTCGCTGATGTCTATAGAGAAGAATAAAAGCAATGATGATGATGATGATGATAAGTGTTTAATCTAACAGTGGGGTCTATGAGATGGCCGTTCTCCATCCAACAGTAGAAATAAGGTTCTACTGACATTTGGGATTTAGCTCCATTGTGTGGTAGACCTGTTTTCATCTTCTGCAGAGGTTCTGTTACCAAATGACCTGCAGAGTAGAGTCTTCCTTTTTAGACAGAGAACACGAGGTGGTGGTGGAGTCCTCACAATGCCACAATGCCTCCTCTGACCATCACAGCATTGGAGGCAGAGTAGTTAAATGCAGGGCAAGCATAGTAATACTTGTACATAGTACATAGTAATACTCAGTAATACTACTGGGCTGGTCTAGACATGGACTTTGACGGCATTGAATACGGGTCGGGAGCAGATCTTCATTGCCACAGCCACAGCTATATCTCTAGCCCTAACAAGTGCATCTTAGGACCCTCCTTCAGGGGTTGGAAGAGTGGCAAGTGCAAACTCAACCTGAAGCTGCTGTGTAAAGACAGGACTTCCAGGCTGGGTGTAGATGGATACCTTTTTTACATTTCTGTAACGCACTGTGGTCATAAACAAGGTCAGCCACCCAGACTAGCTCTAACAGAATATGCTCTAATGCGGTGAGCAAATTCACAGCCCAAGTAATGGCTTCAAATTCAGCCCTCGTATGAAATATCTAGGTCCCTGGTACAAGGTGCTTGGTGTCCTTGAACTAAGTGTGACTGACACCTGCCAAATGGAAATAATGCCAGTGAAGACTATGGGGAACCACACCAGAGTCTTAGAAGCCCCCAATGTCAATGAGCTTAGTAACTCGTAGCCCTGACCTAATAGCCTATTACTGTTTGTGGATTCTGTTTATATCACTTGCAATGGAAATGAAATGAAAACAAAGCCAGAGATCCTGGCTTTAACCTCTGATATTGCCTAAATGTCATTGTTGACCTGGGATACCACAGCCTAGCACCAGAGGCCTGGCTACAGCAGTAGGGATCTAAGCTCTCCCAGTGCTAAGCCCAAGGTGGCAGTAGGGTTTCTCCTCTTGGCCTGCCTATATACGGCACTTCTCACTGTCCCTGTGCTGTCATTCTCATGTTCAAGCATCCCTGATGCTCTGTGTGTCCCACCGACAAGAACACTGTTCAGAATGGATGGACTCATCCCATCCCAATGATTTCACTTCACCTTGAAGACCTCTTTAAAAACACTAACTCCAAATACAGACTCGTTCAAAAGCATCATACAGTGCAGCCAGGACACAGAGCACCACGTCACCTCACTAAACTCTAAGAGCATCGTAAATTCCCACGCAATTTGTTCCAGCCATTCTGAATGTGGAACAGGAGAGCTGGAGAACTGCCCCCATGGTGGCATCAGAGGACAGATGAGGTAACACATATAAAGTCCCAGTCAGAATTCAAGTGCCATATGAGACTCCCCAGGAAGAAGCCACACAGCGGCCAGAAACAAGCTCAGTCACAGCTACATGAAGAAATGGGCGTACTCATCAGGGGTCTGAATCCTTATCCTTTAGCTGGGCATTGTGGTACCTATCTGTGATACTGGTATTCCTGTATCTGAAGCAGGAGGATCAAGTCCAGCCCAGCTAAGCAGCAAGATTCGGGATAAAAAAAAAACAAACAGTATGGGAAAGGGAGAGAGATACAGAGAGAAGCATGACCAACATCAGGGCTCTGGCGCTGTTTGGTGACCTGTGTGAGGTAGGTCACTCCCCACCTGGCGAAGTGTGAAAAACACACCATGGGAGTGGGTAGATAGTCAGGTATGATCGTATACACCCTTGACCCCGGCACTTGGGAGGCACAGATAGGAGGATTTCTAAGTTTGAGGCCAGCCTGGTCTATATAGCACACTCCAAGACAGTCAAAACTATATAAAGAGATCCAGCTGAAAGGAAGGATGGAAAGAAGGAAGGAAGGGAGAGAGGGAGAGAGGGAGGGAGGGATGGAGGGAGGGAGGGAGGGAGGGAGGGAAGGAGGGAGGGAGGGAGGGAAGAGGAAGATGAAGAACAGGTAGATTGTGAGTGAAGCCTGAGCCAGCACCACACATAATTACGTACTGTTTCAGCAAAATCTTGGGGGGCTTCAAATCTGGACATTACAAGACTCCTCTCACTCCCAGGAATGATTCTTTATTCTAAAGCCCACATGGAAGGCTGAGAGCAATAGAGGGTTAGTGAGACACTACAGGCAGGTCTTCAGGTCCTTGTAAAGAAATGGTGAATACCGTTTTCTGTTTTGTTTTCATGCTGCAAGCATCAGTGGTCTTGCTTGCCTAAGACCTAAGATGATTCAAGACCATTATTAGTTCAGGATTTGTGTTTTCCCCACAGTCCTACAGGCAACCTGCTTGACAAGCCTTTCCTGTTTCTGTATGCATCTCCAACTGCCAGAATTCTACAGGAAAGGAAAAGAGATGTGGCCAGGTGCTTTTGACCCTTCTAGCCAAAGTATAAATCTCACTCTTTCCACAGAAGAGAGAGGACATCCAGAAGTCCATGGAAAAATGGCTCTACAACAGAACATTTATTAATTAAGCAAGCAATTATCTATTTATTTTTGTGAAAGGGTCTCACTACATAGCTGGTCTAGACTCTATGTAGACCAAGCTGGCTTCAAATTCAAAGAGGTCCACCTGCCCCTGCCTTCTGAGTGCTGGGATTAAAGTTGTGTGCCCGGAATGTTATTGGGGGTTGGGTGGGGGGTGGGGGGTGGGGGGTGTGTGGGAGCCCGTTCCGGGGTTCCTCGTGGCTTTACCCAGCAGGTCCGAATAGAGGATGATCAGGACCACGGGCCTGAGTGCAGGTGTCTGAGATGGTCTGCACTTGGCTGTGCTGGGGGAGGAGGTCTTTTGCTCCACCCCTTGGCGTCTCTATAAAAACCCTGGGGCAGAGACAGTCGGGGCCCGTTGGAATAGGTTCCAGGCCCTCTCGAGGCTATCCTTTATTTTCTATCTGTTTATCTCCGCAACATTCTCCGCTATAAATCCTTCTATCTAATATTTCCTGCTGCTCGCACTCAAGAAAACTCTGGGAAGCTGTGGGGGTGGTGGGTAAACGCCCCACAGGGGTGCTGTTTTATTTTTCTCCAAGGCAGACAAAGGGATGGTCGAAGCCTCTAAACTTGGGAGCTTTAGGTTTTAGTCCCAGCTCTACAGTTGTGAGTTTGAACTTCAACTTCCTTCCTTGGAAAAGGGGAGGAGAGAGTTTGGGAGAAGTGTGGGCTGAGCTGCTGACACCTCACGGATCCAGCACTAGCCCGGTTTCCAGAACCGTGGCTGGCCCATAGGAACTGCTCAGTAAGCGGCAGCTGTCCTTATCGGTTCTTCCATTCATCTCCCAGCCAGCTATAGAAAGGGCTAGGTTTTTGAAAGTGTAATCAGAAGGTTCGGAACTGGGTCCTGCTCACAAGTTCACTTGTTCATCCACTCCATGCCAACAGTGCAGTGGAGGTTTTCATGCCCAAGAAGGAGCTCTCTATGATGTGGTGGCCTCCCACTAGGTCTGTGCATATGGGCTGTCAAGATTAAAAAAAAAAAAAAAAAAAAAAAAAAAAAAAAAAAAAAACACAAGTGGCCTGGTTGGAGTTTTTTGCATTAAAGAAAAATCAATGACGTCTTAAAGTCCACTCAAGGCCAATTTTCAGGCAGGCCTTTCCTTTCCTCATCGAGGAAATGCATATATGCTGCTCTGCTCACTGAAAAGAATAATCTAGAAAATGCAAGTGTGATTACTAGAAGGCATGACCTGGAGGCAAATACAACTGATGGCTCACAGCCACATGACCTCTCTGGGTTCCTCAGCCTGAGCTTCAGTGACCTATCTGCCATCAGAAGTGCACAGGCTTAATAGAGAGAAAGGACTCTGCACAGAATAAGGCTCTCTGGTGTGTCAGCTCACTCTGAGACAGAGCATTTAAAATAATTAAGCACTTTTTTTTTTTTTTTTTTTTTGAAAGGCAGCTTTTCAAAATGCAAAGGAAAGGAAGCATCAGACTGAAATACTGAAGGAAACCAGGGACCGGAAGCGGGGAAGAAGGCAGTTTTTAGCCGGGTGATCATTTTGATGAGTAAGCAATAAGGAAATACAGCATGGGAGCTCCAGGAACTCAAAGGCCTTTAACAGACATGATCTCACTGCGATCTTTTTATTAGCTTCTAAGACAGGTTAACAGGTTCCTGCCTCTCTGCTGAGACAGGGAAACTGCGGGCTTGTGGCCTCCCTGGACATACTGAGGCCGGGCGGCTTGTCTGAGCTGCTTACACAGCACACACTACAATCTGTTTCTTTATCTGAGATTCCCTCCCAAGCCAAGCATCACAGGTGGAAATGCTTTTTCTATGAGCCTTGCTTTTTTAAAAAGAAAAAAAAAAAAACATTTGCTACAGCAACACTAAATGAATCCTGGTTTTGGTTTTCTAAGGAACAGACCAGAATAAAGAGAAAGGGACACTTAGGGATCCACGGTGGAATTACCTGCCAGACTTAGGGGTCCACTGTGGAATTACCTGCTTGTCCAACTGTTTCTGGGATGTGTTTCCCAGACTAGAGATGGGCAAATGGCATTCCCCTGGAGAGCCTTTGGCCAAGAAAAAAGCAAGGCAGGGTCATGCAGAGTAGAGGGAAGTGACAACTGAGGGCAGGGCGGGTGCTGTCATCACTGAGTTCCTCAATCCAATGCCTTTTATTTCATGTATTTTGTTTCAGGGCTGAGGATTAAACCCAGGACCTCGTGCATGCTAGGTAAGTGCTCTACCACTGAGCTATGCCCCAAGCCCTGCTAAATGCCTTTCTGAGAATGTCTATTCAACTCTCACCTCAAGACCATGCTGGCATCTCCTACTATCCATATGTGCCAGCCCCACCTGGAGTGACACCTTCTTTTTCATCATTCTAAGGCCTGCATGAACTCCAAGGCACTGAACCTACCCTGGGTTTCCTACCCAGGGCTCAGGAAATCCACCCCTGAGATTACTACCAGGTTTCAGAATGATAT